GGGGCTCTCTGGCGGGTCCCTCCTGGGACTCGTGGGGGGACTAGGCCAGCTGGGGGCCGGTGCCTCTCCTTTCCCTCTTTCCTATGTGGACATCAGTGGCTTCGCTAGCTCCTTTTGCCAGGGAAAGTAGGTGGCATGTGAATGGCGGAGGGCCTGCCAAAGCATATTCTGCTCCTTGTCGTTGCTTGTACTTAAAACCCTTCTGTCTTGTAACAAAGATGGCTGTGTTGGGAATTTATTCTCCTTTTCACCCAAGTCTGTATTCAACTCTCTTTGTAAGCAGCTGCAGGCGTTGGTTTTGCATCAGGTTTTATGGAGGTTGCAGGGTACTTGGTAACAGGATATATTCAAGCAGTCTTGAAATTATGATTCTGAAACTGTTGGGGGTTTGTCTGAGCAGGTGGCTATGCCCAGGTGTTTTTAATCCTTTGAACGTGAATTCTGTCATCATGTAAAGAGTGGAGGTTTTCGTCCCTTCCCTTTACATTCCCATAAAATTGTGGCACACCCAAAATAACGTGCTCATTTCTGAGCTCTGCCATGCTGTACTTTCCATCTCGATTATATATATTCTTGTGAGCATGTTTTGTTCAGGTTCTTGTTAGAACGAAGAGTCTTTGAAGGCGTTTATTTTAGCCGTTCTTGTCATTCTTAGCAGTAGGTTTGCTGCATGTGATATTCAGAGGAGACTTGATCTAATCTGGAAACAAATTGTTTCTATTTCAGGTATGTAAGAAAGCAATCTCATTAACATTCAAGTTCCCACTCAGTTCTGCCTGTGAGAGGGAGTGAGTCTCACTGCCAAGTCTGATGCAGCTGATCCTCCATAGATATTTGAGAAACGCAGCAGTAGGGTTATTTCTGCTCTTTGAGGTCCTCAGTTTAGACCTTGTTATTGTAGGGGATGTACAATCTGACTAGGAGACTGGGACTGTTTTGAGATTAAACAGAAAAAATGGAGGAAGCTGGGGGCAAAAAAAGAAAGTGAACTTACCTGACAAACTGTCACTGTGGGCTAGGGGCAGATCTGGGGACAGAACTTCAGTCCCATGAGCCCCAGTTTACTCTCTTTGGGGGACCATACTGCATTGCAGTGTAGCTTCTGTCTTCTTCCTGTTTTTTGTAGACCTTAAAACAAAACACCTCTAACTCTAAACAGAAATAGTGGTAGGGTGCCACGGGACCTGATTCTGAGCATGCAGTTTAGAAAGATCAAAGATTAGCTGTTTTAAACTAGCAGAGGCTATTGCAGCATTGCTGTTGAAAGTTAATAGATTAAGTGCATGTTGAGATTTACTGCTACTGTAACACGTTCATTGATCTGACTGTGTCTAATTGCTAATCAATAACAACCATAGGCACAGCGTGTGCTCTTTGAAATGAGTCAAATCAGAAGGCTGCTGGCAACTCATTAATTGACTGAGAGATGCTATTGGAGAGTCATTTTTTTTATAGCAGAATATCTCTATTTCTAGAACTTGCTTATCTGAACAACTTAGCCAAACGTAAATTTGCTGTTGCCTCAGCTGCTCCTGCTGCAAACAGAAAAGTCTAGCACATCACCTTTGAATTTTTTTTTTTTTCCTCCTTGTAAGGGTCTTCACTTTCTTTATACTGAAAGCAGCAAACGCGGGCAGGATTGCTTCGCCCTCTCTTTGGTCTGACCTCTGATGGTGTTATGAATTTGTTCTTGGAAGCTGGGCTTTACAAGAGGCTTGATGTAACAAAAATTACATCTTCTAGTATGAGGATTTTTTGCGATATTTTTTTTTTTTTGCAGTGAAAATGAAGAGTTTATATATTTTCCTTGCTGTCCTGTTCGTCCCATGGAGTTTTTCGCTGGCAAAGTATGATGAATTTGAGGATGGAGATGACATTATGGAGTATGATGATAATGACTTTGCTGAATTTGAAGATGTTACTGAAGATGCAGTCACAGAGTCTCCTCAGAGGATCATCACTACAGAAGATGATGAAGAAGAAGCTACCGTAGAACTTGAAGGTCAGGATGAGAATCAGGAAGACTTTGATGATGCAGATGCACAGGTGATGCCTCATTTACTTCTCCTGCATGTTCCCTAATGGTATCTCTACACCTTATTTTCTTACCCTGTCTTTTTAGATTTTGATTACCAGGCTTTGGCTTTTCATCCTGCTTGTGATTTTTGTCCTTTAGGAAGGAGATACTGAGAGCGAACCATATGATGATGAGGAGTTTGAAGGCTATGATGAGAAACCAGATGCATCTCCTAGCAAGAGTAAAGACCCCATAACAATAGTTAACGTAGGTAAAAATTTTGATTCTCTCTGTTCAGTACTTTGTCGCTTATTTGTTTATGGTCGATATGGTCATTGTTGTACAAACATATGATGAGAGAATCTGTCCCAAAGAACTTGCTATGATATATCTATATCTATAACTATATTTTTAAGTTTCTAGAACTTCTGTCCTTGGATCAATGCTGTATTCTGTTCAAACCAAGAGCTGTTGATGGGAATACAGATCAGGAAACGCTTCACTAAAACAGACAGAGTTTGAGGCATAGTTTTGGCCAAAGCGTTTTATGACGTAGCCTCCCTTACTCATGTGAGTATAGGGGAGAAGTGAAGGAGCTGTAGTGATGAGCTTCATTTAATCCAGGAAAGAATACAGATCTGGGGGTCTGTCTGTATGTAAAGGTTACATTGATATGCTTACAGTAACACTTTAACAGTGTATTTTTAGCTTGTCTGTGGTCTAAAGCTTCTGATTAGAAATGGACCTCTCTGATTCTTTTTTGAAGCCAATATCTCCCTCCCGTCTCATCTTACCTTTGCCTCCCAAAAGAGGCTTTTACAGAATGATCCAGGTGCTTAAGGCCTGCATTTTTTATTATACATAAAATTTCTTTTAAAATGTCATGGCTGACCTTGGCAATAGAAATTGAAGCTTGCACGTAATTTTATGACTGAAGGGTTATGTGGTGTTAGTAGAACTGTTAAGTATGTTATCATGGTTCTCTGAAGATGGCAAGGTCAGGCAGGGCTCCCCCATGGTCTGTGGCTCCTAGTAATATTCTGAAAATGCTCTTGGTCACTGGGTATTACTTTAGATTTCAGTAGAAGTTGTATTATGATCAGATAATGCTGTGATTGGTAAGGTTTGAAACCCAAATAATCAGTCAGTTGAGTTGAAATGCTGGGCTGTTGACTATTTGGAGGGATAAGTGCTAGCACCGGCTTGCTTGCAAGAGAGAGATATTTTGTTTGTACTAGCCAGGTATTTTGTGAATGCTATTGTCAGTTGTTTCCAGTATGATTCCTGTATGCCAGTAAGGACAAATGCATTATGTAGACTTAGCTCTGTCCTGTGGCCTTTAAGAAGTTTATTGCTGTATTTGGGATGAAACTTCTCCGGTACTCTGTGTTTTCCAAAATAGTTTGTGCGTATGGAATCCACTCATTCAATACAGACAAAACAAATCTTCAATCACTTAACCGTAGGTCCCTGCTCACCTTCAAAACAGCTGGGAGAGCTATTACATGGAGATTCTGATGGTAACCGGTCTTCTTGCTTACATCATGAATTACATCATTGGGAAGAACAAAAACAACCGTCTGGCTCAGGCATGGTTCAATACTCACAGGGAGCTGCTAGAAAGCAACTTTGCTCTTGTTGGTAAGTTCCATAGTGCCTAGGCCCCATTTTAGCTTATTTGAACAGAGCTGGTTTTAAATCTTCAGGTAGCCTATGAAGTAGAGTAACCTTTTACATGCAAGTTCCTGTTAATACTAATGACAGCTCTGCATGTAGTACAACATCATTATCTTCTTCCAGCACTGGAAGACTGCATAGTATTTATCTACAAGTTATTCAGAAGCCTTGTGGTGATACTGAAGTAATCTAGGAACAACTGAGTTCTAAGCCTGTTGATGCAACTTTGCCACTTAAATAGGTGATTGTTAGACTGCAGTTACCTTTCACTGTTGTCTTCTGCAGGGGATGATGGCACTAATAAAGAAGCTACAAGCACTGGGAAACTAAATCAAGAAAACGAACACATATATAACTTATGGTGCTCTGGCAGGGTGTGCTGTGAAGGAATGCTTATCCAGCTAAAGGTAAGGATGAGTAAGTTTGTAGCACTGTTTACCTCTGCCCAATATTCAAGTTCCAGAGGCTTTTCCACTTCAGTGTGAACAACAAGGAGTGCCAGCTCAACTCTTGCTCAGGTTCAGGGACAGGATTCTGAATATGCACACATGAATGGAAAAATGGTCACACTAAAGATCTGTATGGCCCAGTGTTCTCCCACCAGAAGGGGGTAATAGTGAATACTTGGGGAGTGAGCGTAGAAAACAGGAGAAGGAAGCAGGCCTCGTTTTTCCTTAGTCTCCCTTGCTATGTGCTAATGAAGTGCTGCACTTCAGGTATATTTAGCAATCTTTTTCTGTGCTTATAAATGTGTGTTTTTAGTTTCTCAAGAGACAAGACCTCCTGAATGTTCTTGCCCGCATGATGAGGCCAGCTTGTGACCAAGTGGTATGTACTCGGCTAAGCTGTTGCATTTCTTCAGTTCTGCCCGGCTGCTTTTGATTGTTCTCATAATCTCCAAGTGAGCTGCTTTCTCCAGTATTCCACATCTTCCAGTTCAATATCTGTTACAATAATCTGTAAGAATCATTCATGTTTCTTTTGTCTGCAGAATGCAAACTGCTGATGACTAGTAAATTGTTAAAGTATCTATGGGTCTTACTGTGTGAGTGGTTTTGTGAGTGGTTTTGTGAAGCGTTCTATCATGCTTCAAGACATCATCTTGATAAAGCACGGTTTTACGATCTGAAACGCTTAACGATTGTTCTCTGTTTCATCTGTCTGAATAGAGCTGGTCAGCGCATATGCTGGTCCGCACACGAACATCTTGTAACGCTACTTTTTGCCCGGTGCCTTGCCCTTGGGGATAAGGGGAATTTCTATGCCCATAAATGCCCAGAGGTGATACCTTCTGGAGAACAGTGGATGCATGCGCTGTGAATGCTTTTTCCATATATGTTTACTTCCATAAAAATATTTAATTTAGATGTGGGTAGATGCTCACAAACAGTGGACATCTGTGCTGCAAATGCGTCTTACAACTCTGCTATTCTATTCACTGCTATTACGATGCAGCATTATACTGGAATGCTGAATTGAGTACTCAGCAAAATTAAAAAGCTAATTTATGTTTCTAAGATACACTAAAAAGTTCTAATTTAACAGCCTTTATCTTAGCTGTGTATTGCCTCACTTAGGCTTTGTTCTTTGCGGTTGTGAAAGAGGAATGAAAACTTTAGATAAACTTGGAAGTAGCAGAAACGTTTCCTTCATAAAAGACGCAGGTCTCCGTTTGGCCAGTAGTCTAAAGGCAGGTCATCTTATAAATCTGATCAAGGCTAATAACGTTTTGTTCCACAGCAAATAAAAGTAACAATGAATGATGAAGATATGGACACCTATGTGTTTGCTGTTGGAACAAGAAAAGCGCTGGTGCGACTTCAGAAAGAGATGCAGGACCTGGTACGTGTGTTGAAACTGGAATGACGGCAAAATGAATACTGGGATATATGAACCTCTCACCTCTAGGTTATGTTGTTGGGAACAGCTGAAAACTTGCGACTGGCCTATTGGAATTAGTGTGGGGGGAGAAGACATTTTCACCTAATGGATGAAAGTCTAATGCCATCAAACATCTGATGTGCTAGCCAGCCGGTGCCAGACTGGGAGAAGAGGCATTCGAAAGCAACTAACCGCTTCATTTTGGTGTGTAGTTCGTTTAGATGGAGGCTGAAGTATGTTATCAGGATGCACACAAGTCTCATTTGGCCTTATTTAATGTGCACAATGGTTTTGTCAAGGAGTGAAAAGTCAACTTAGTAGTGACTATATGCTTAATAGCTAATGTGATATGGAAAGTTTGGGCCTATGTCATCCATATTTACATAATGTGAAATCAAGAAAACACACTGAAGTGTGAGACGAGATTACTGGTCTCAAATAGCAGCACTAAAGTGCAGTTGGTAGGATGCCAGTCAACTTTTTTATATTATCAAGCAGTATAAGCAAGGCGTATTAATGCACTTTGACCATTCCAGCATGGATGTATTAAAACTGTTCTTCGTTTTCCTTAAAGTATTCACTATCGAGGGGGGATACTAAGTCAAAGACAAACTACATGCATTGGTGTTGCATGCTTTTTTTATACTTGAAATGTCCCCAGTCAAACTGAGTAACCGAGTTAACAAGTGTTTACTGTTTCTTATCAAGTACTACTTAGGGGTCCCATTGTGCTGGAACTGTTCAATCTAATAAGATACTTAAATGCTTGGGACTTTTCTTTCTTTCTCTTTCTTCTCTTTGCAATAGAGTGAGTTCTGCAGTGATAAACCCAAGTCTGGTGCAAAATATGGGCTTCCAGATTCGCTGGCTATCTTGTCGGAGATGGGGGAGGTCACAGAGGGAATGATGGACGCAAAGGTAATCTTGAATGAATTAGTGAAAGTCTTCCTTTGTGGCCCTGACGCTTAAAAGTTAGAACTTTTTCAACTCTACTTCCTGTAAAAATGACAACGGGAGAGCCAAATGGTCTTGGTGAGATCTGGAGAAATCAAGACCCAAAGGAAGTTTAAGGGGTGGTGGAAGAAGGGTATAATTGATGACACTTTTTTTTTTTTGTTTAACTTAACAATTATTAGTCTAACTGAGGACTTAAAACTGCCTTTTGAAGTTAGTTGAAAACTGCCTGGAAGTTAGCTCCGACTGCCAATTTGAAGGAGGGTGTTGAAGGTGGTGTATCTGCAGGTCCTCAAAGCTGAGGTTGATTATGAAATGAAGTGGCAAATCCCAAATAAGAGTTACGTATCTAATAACTCTGAGATGCTAATGTTAATTCCATGCGCTGAGGCCCTCTCTAGCAGAAGCTGATTTAAAAAAATTGCTAGTTTAAATTTCAGTGTCATGGTGGCAAGCTGAGCACAACAATTCTGAGTGATATACAGACAGTTCGGCAAACCGACGGGTGGGCAGGCTGATGAAAACTTGTTGACAGGAGAAACTAACCCCAGCTTCTCTTTCAGATGATACATTTCCTCACGCATTATGCTGACAAGATTGAGTCCGTCCAATTCTCGGACCAGTTCTCCGGTCCAAAACTTATGCAAGAGTATGTATAAAACTAGATCTCTCCTTGCAGTAGGTATTGTAACACTGAACAAAGTCTAGGCTGACAAACTTGTTTGCAGTGTGCAGCCTGCTGAAATGCGCCCAAAGAGAAATTGGGCGCAAAGGTGAAACAGCTGACTGTACTCCTGATGCTTCCAAACGCTGCATTAATTTAGAAGATCAAGGTGCTGTGTTGCCTTAATATTTATTTTTGTGGGATAGTTATTTTGCAGTTTCAGCAGCTCCAAATCTCAAATAACATCTGGCAGTTACAGTGCACAAAGCTGCACAGAAAAAAATTGAGCAATCCCACTAAATGGATGCAGCATGTTAAAGAGCTGAAGAGGCAAGAAATAACACCGCAGGATGCAAAGTAGTGTTGAAAAAAAAAATACATTCATTCAGAACACTATCTGAATGCATTGAGAGTTAGGTTTGAGCAAAGTCTGCAGTATAAAAAACATCAAGGTTGCTTGCCCTTTCCTACTGATGAGATTAAACATTTTGCTGTTGAATCTATAGCTTGGGTGCTCTTGGTCTCTTTGATTCTCAGCTGTGTTCTAGAAATACACAGATGCAATATTCTTTTCTTGAAGCCTCCTAGTTTTGAGGTGCTTTTGGCTGCTGCTGCTTCAGGATTGCCAAGTGGTGGGTGATCTATCCTATCGTGCATTAACACGTAGGCTTGTGTAAGGGAGTATTGTGATCACAGGTGTATAAACAAATGATCCATATCAAAACCTGAAACTGCCAAAAAAAAAAAAAGGGGGGGGGGCAGGGAGAAGCATACTTTGATTTAATCATAAAGCAATCTGTGTAACTTGTACTGAAATTGCCTAGGCTCTGTAATATGTTGGTCTGACTTTGTTACATTAGAGTTCTGTGCCTTTTTTTTTTTTTTTTGCAGCAGTCAAGACTTAAGTTTTCAGAAAACTCCTTCTTTGTTTTTTTGTCACTGATGAACATCTTTAAAAAAATACACAGGCCTTCTTAGGGCTCAGATGATATCTAACAGTCACTGACTGGGTGGTGCAGTTCGCGTGTTTTTACATTAATGGTGGTTTTTGTTGTTTTCCTGAATAAACACTTCAGGAATCTGAACAGTTTGAAACTTAAAATTAGGGTGGAGCAAGGTTTTTAGCCTTGTTTGCTTTACTCTTGTGAGTAGTTTGCAAGTGTCTCTTGGTTCTTGACAAGATTCTCCCTACCAATGTTGTATTTCATATGCCTATATTTTTTTCTTTTCACATTCCAACTGCTCTTTTCTTTCCTACCAGGGAGGGCCAGCTTACAAAACTGCCCGAAACGAAAAAGACACTTTTGTTTACATTTAATGGTAAGAGAACTGGTGTGTGTATACATGTCTGATGGGGGTGCTACACTTTGTGTGTGCAAGTCACATGCTCAAGTTCTGTCTTATGCGGAAGGCAATGTATTACTAATGACTGCAGTGCATGTGAACAGGACCACTGATTGATTAACCAGTAAACAAAAGGCAATAGTAACATTGGGGACCGAGTGGCATATGGTGATGATAATACAGTACTGAATCCTGCTGCTTATGGATCGTATCAGGCCTGAGCTCGGAATGATCTGTCATGAAGTGAGTTAAGTTCTTGACTGCTTCCTATAGCTGTCTAGCACAATTAGAGAAAGTATGACCCCCAGGAGACACTTTATTTGTGAAACTATTTGTAAATCCAACATTGAGAATTGCAGGGGACACATCCTTATATCTCTGCTGGTGGTCCTATTAGATCACGACTGGAAGATGACTTGCTTTTGGACTACTCCCTGCAGTATGTGATTACACAGAGGTTCTCGGTTAGCCCTGATTCAGTATGAACACAGTCTGAGAGTCTACATTTGAATTTTTCTTAGAAATTCAAGGCCGTAGCTCCAAGAGACGCTAATGTCAGAGGCCAGAATTCAACCTTCAAATTTGCATTGTGTACGGATTAAACTAAGAAGGATTGTGTGGGAGAAACGTGCCTGCCGCTGTGTGAAGAATCTGAAAGTAATCTCCAAAGTGAAATACCCCTTTCACTTAAAGAGGAGGATTGTCATGTTTCTTTCATGAACATTCTGAGCAATAAGGAAGGAGTACGAGAGCTCGCACAAGAAGCCTGTCAACCTCTCCTAATTAATTTGAGGAACTCTTGTTTTTCAGTGCCTGGTTCAGGCAACACTTCCCCAAAGGATATGGAGTCTTTGCTGCCTCTGATGAGCATGGTTATTTACTCTATTGACAAAGCAAAGAAGTTCCGTCTGAACAGAGAGGTAAGCAATATATTCTTTTTCTCTCTTCTGAGTATTGTATGGAATTTCAAAAGTTACCATTTTGATCTTTAATCTTCAGGTTGGGAGCCTTATGTTCCTAATGTAACTACCACAGATACTGCATTCTGCTCCTGGGGAATCTTATTGAATGGGGAATCCGTATTAACTGAACTTGCTTTTCTCTTTGAAAAGGGTAAGCAAAAAGCTGATAAGAACAGGGCTCGAGTGGAAGAGAATTTCCTTAAACTGACTCACGTGCAAAGACAGGAAGCTGCCCAGTCCCGCCGAGAGGAGAAAAAACGGGCAGAGAAGGAACGAATCATGAACGAGGAGGATCCAGAAAAGCAGCGTCGGCTGGAGGTGAAATGGGTTTTCAGATGGTTACGAGCTACTTGCGAATTTCTCCTGTAATATCTCCGTGGCTGCTCGTACGCCTACCAGTAGGGTGGTCAACTTCCATTTCTTATTGCGCTAGAAGGCGGACAAATTTCATACTTTTATTCTCTTGCTGTTTGAACCGTGTGAAGGCTGTCAGTGGGGAGCCAACTCCTGTGCTTAGAGGAGATGTGAACCTAAGTGCAGTAGTGAAGATTGCATTTTTTGTTTTCCTCTTCTGAAATTGTTAGCTTCCTCTCTGAGGCGAACATTGATGTTCATTCAGGTCTCTGCGTTCTTCCCTACAGGAAGCCGCTTTGAGGCGTGAGCAAAAGAAACTAGAGAAGAAGCAGATGAAGATGAAGCAAATCAAAGTGAAAGCTATGTGAATCCATTGTGGGAAACCTGTCTCGGTGCCGCCTGCAGAATTTTAATTCATAGGGTACAAAGACGTAGTTGACTCCACAATCTTACGCTTCTTTGAACACTAGTAGCCATTAAGAGAAATGCTCCATGCATTGGTGTTGCTTTTCGAGTATTACAGCAACATGCAGGTGTATGTAGAGAGCTTTGTCTCGGCAGTTTTATTCCAGGTGGTTAAAAGTTTTGCTCCTTGTCTGTTTAAAAAAATGCAATATTCCCGAATGCTTTTTGTCATTTGTTCTTTAAAAACAGAAGACTGCAAACCCGTCCATGTATGCTGGTAACATATCAATGTTTTGGTTTTAAACTTTGCTTTTAGTTATTGGGAGGGAAGGGGGGACTTCTTAAATTAACGGGAGGAAAACGGCACAGTAATCATTCAGCGTGCGTTTATTTGCGTCAAGCTCGTAAAGACACAAAACGGAGCCTTCCAGACGCAGTATGGAAAACTTCAAGGATTTATGCCCCGTAGAAGTGATTTTTGTTTTGTTTTTACTGACAAGGGATTGAAACAGTATTAGATCATCTGTGAGCTTGATTGGCATATGTGTAAAACACATAGATCGGTTAGATGTCAGGGAATAGCATATACAAACACTGTTTCCTACTTGTAGTTTTGAATGCTGTAAGCTTAATACAATGTGAAATCTGTAACGTAAGGGTGCTGTTTCTTCAGGAGTGACTGCATGGTGAGTTAGCAGCTTCAACTAGCTTTCCTTGAATATTTGTAACTGTACCAATTTGCCTCAAATACTTTTCTCCTAGTCTCAGCAGCTGCTGCCTAGTTCACTTCAGCAAGAAGCTAGATTCAGTGAAGTATCTGTGCAATTGCCAATTTCCCCAAACAAGTAAGAATGTTTCAGAGGATTTGTATCCTCTTCATCTGGTGAATGGTCATTTCTGGGTTTTGAGTATAAATGGGGGGAAGGAAGTGAATGCCCCTGTGCAAACACTTTGCTATCTGAGAGCTCTGCATTTTATAAATGCTTCCTGTCTAGAAGGCATTTTATTGTTGCTTGTAACAGACTTTTTACAGTTTTGTGGGGAAACAATGTCTTGCTTTTTTGTTGTTGTTGAGTAACTCGTGCAACTTTCGTTCTGAGGCAATAACAATGAGCTGCTGTTGAAACAGCAAGTGCTTAAACGTTCTTGTTCCAGCATGGGATACTTCACACTGATTTAAATGCAAAAGTCTGTAACCCGATACATGTAAATGCATTAATTTTATAATGGTTGTGAAAATTAATTTAAAACTCAAACTAATGTAGATTATGTGAAATCTTGGCATTATTTAGCTTTAAAGATCAGGATTAATACTGTATTGCTTCACAAAGTTCCTTGAAAGGAAATATTAGTTTGTGCTCTTTTAAAAAAGCGGACAGGTCCCCTACATTTGTGGGCCGTGGCAGCTAATTTTGTAATATGAACATTCAAATGAACTACCTAATGAAGAGTAAAACATGACTGAAACACTCCACCTGCCTGCTGTACTTTGCTGGACTCCTTGTTTCACCTAGGACGACCTCAAGCCCTCGTTTGCCCTGCAGCAGGCCTCAAGGCCCAGCGCGGGTTTTAAGCACCTTGTCCCTTGCTCGTGCCTCGTCTGCTGTGGCGCTGGGGAAAGCTGGGCTGCGTACCGCATGAAGACGTTGCTTTCCTGTGCGGGCTGGGGTGGGCGCGGATGGATTTGCGTCCCGAATTTCAGGAAAGGGCCCTGAGGGGGAGCGGGGACGGCTTCCCCCGGGCTCGGGCGGCGCCTCGGGCCCTTTCTGACGGGAGCCAAGATGGCGCCG